GGCAAGGGAATCAGAACCTGTGTTGCCAGCTAAGGTAACGGCCAAGAAGGTATGTAGTCTTACGGCAAAGTATGTTATATGCATTTAAAAGAACTGAACGCAAGTTTTAGTTTGCTTATGAGAGAAATCGAGAACAAATGTTGCTTACATGAGTATTTGTAGTTAAGCAAGCAATAACTGAATATTCCAAAAATCACACCAGCCCAAGTAATCGTCTCTAGACTTGCTCCTCAATCTTCCTGGCTTTTATCATTCTAAATTCAGGCATCTGTTCTTAATTTGTAAAATTTTACACTGTACTTCATCTTCCCTCCATAGAAGAGGACTAACTTTAATTGATCAATTTCTTGTTCCAAAAATCATACATTCCGTTACTAGACTTTTTGAACTGGTGACTGATCAGAAGCTATTTGTAAGTTGTAATTAATACAAGGTTGAACTTTTCTTAAGTTTAAAAATGGGTTCAGAATCTCCCTTCAAACAATTTTGACAAACAGCACTTATAATTTCTGTCAAATACACAGACTTTCTCTGTGCATGGCTGGTACAGGTGAAAAAAAATTGCACCTGGGAGGCTCTGAATGTAGGTTTTGAATCCCATGCACCAGGTAATAAAACTTATGCATACTTGACCACTTTATGACACTGACACCAATGCTCATTTTTCATTTTAACTTTAAAGGTGCATATTGATTGTCTATGAGGTTCAAAATCCTGATTCTCCGGTGTACAATTTTACACAGATGGATAGAAAAATTTTGGGAATTTTTTTGCATTCCTCTGAAGCAACAGGAATGCTCTCCTACCAGAGAGCACTGTCATATTAGATACACAAGGAGTCTGATTCTGAATGGCAAATCCTACTTATCTAGTCAGGTATACATCAAGTCAGTCTCTCTCTCTTTCTATCTATCTATCTATCTATATATATAAAGCTCTACCACATGATGTACTTCTAATGATTCCCATTACTATTATCCATGTACATTATCTATAGCTAAATATCTGAAAACTATTAAATGGAAACAATCCTGATTCAGTCTTTAAACCCACACTTTGTGTGAGTTTGCCCCAAATCAGTTCCAGCTGTAATGAAGAAATATGAGTTTGAGTGGGAGGATCAGCACTGGTTGCAATTATACAAATGCTATAGTAAATTCATATACTGATATTATTACTATTAAACAAGACTCTACACTGATTTTCAATTATATGCAACATTCAGTTAAATTATAAGATGCATAACTGTAGTTTTCAGAGGTATGTAGTAGTTAAGGGTAAAAGTTTTCTCATTCACCAAATGCCAAATTCAAGTATTATTTTATTTAAATTAACTCATCTCAGATTTGTGTCTTTCAAATAGGGCTCACTGAACAGAGTATAAAATTTGCATAAATTGTTTTACTTATAAGTTACATAAGTAAATAAATGTTTAATCTTGAAAGTCTAATTCAGTTATCTGCTAATGAAGTGAAAATAATATATTTTTATTTCCTGATTTGCATACTGTAGAATATATAGTATGTGACACTTAATAAAGTAATTATTTGATAAGTTTGTTCTTTGAAACCGCAACTACAACTTTCCCTTAAATTTCCTAACCTTCTTCTATATGACAAAAATAGGATCAGTTATCTTTTTTATTTTTGCTGTGTTTAGTAGATTACATTAAAATCACCAGATCTGAACTGACTACTACTGGTCTTTTCAAACATTGATTCCAATTCTGCAATCAGGTCTGCATATGCAGATCCTTGTGCCTCTGTGGTAGACCCAATGAAGTCAAAAGGACTCTCTGGTTTCATCTGTGGAGATCCAACAGTACGATCAGAGAAGAATTGTGTTTTCATATGGTAGGAAGAACACTAATAAAAGAATGCATGAAACACCAATCCTGGAGGTGGAAGGAGGGAGGGGAAGATGGGTATTTTTGAATGTGTATGAGCAAGACAATATACTAATTTTTGTCCTTGTGTAGTGGGGCAACTACCCCACTCTGGCATGGATGGGGTTCAAGCAAGCCAGAGAGTCTGCACAGAGCCCCTGCCAACACTGGAAGGGCTTATTAGAAGCCAATCAAGTAGAGGCTTGAAAGCAGCCAATCAGGGCCAGGCTGGGCCCTGTAAGAAGGCTGTAGGGTGGAGAGGAGCGCAGTCTCTCCCTGGAGGGCAAAGGGAGAAGAACGGGCTCTTAGAGAAGCACCTAAAACAGAGCAGTGCTGGGCAGGGTCAGCTGAGACTGGGAGAGCTCTACGCTGATGACTGCCAGACTGGGGCCCTGACACAAAGGGGCAGAAAAGATGCTGGGGCTATGGGGAAGTGGCCCAGGGAAGTAGGCAGTAGAGGAGAGTTGGAGGAGGGCAGTAAGTGGCTGCTGCTAGCGGGTCCCTAGGTCGGGAACCTGAGTAGCTCATGATTAGGAAACCTCAGTAATTACTTCATACTTACAATTTGGGTGGGAAGAGAACAGAAGAGGAGAAAGGGGCAGAAAGAACCAGTCAGAGGGAAAGAGGAAAAAAAATCTACCGTATAAGTCTAAAAGCAAAGCTAACTTTACTTTTCCAAAATGGAATATTAACTGAGGAGTGAAGAGAGTTTAGTGCAGTTCACCTCTTGAACAAGTTGCAAGATCACTAATTCTTTTCACCTTTGGCACAATCCCTTATTTACAATGACAAGATCAAGCACAGAAGATTTGCACCATTTTCAGAATCAGATATTTTTAAATTTCACTTGGGCTTCTATCTGGATTTAGTTTCCTGAAATTTTTAACCGGAGAAAAAACCCACTACAATTTAATTATATTATTGGACTAGCTTTATTTTAGTAAAGTTAGTTCCCAATACCACCAAAGAAAAAGTCTCAGCCTATCAGTGGCTATGTAATTCTTGGAACTACTAACTCACTATGGTATACTAAGAAAAATGCAAAAGCAGCCAGTTTCTTTTAATCAAAAAAGTTAATCGTTGACCTTTATTTTTTTCTTGTTAAAAAAGTCCATCATAGTTTAGAACTGTTGCAGGGCAAATGCACATGCACATTGTTTTCTTTAATTTGGTGGGAGAAAAGTACAGAAGAGTGCCTCTAGTTCCCACGAGCTCTCTCCACTTAGTCCGGTGACCCCTGTTATACAAACAACTTAGCAAAAATTAAGTTTCCCCAAGCCAGCTAGCGTATTGAAACTACACAGTACTTGGAGAGAAAAGTATAATCTCTTGAATAATAATTTATAGAATTATTCACCTACAAAGCAAACAAGTGAAAAACTAATTAGTTATGTGAGAGAGCTGACTAGGCTGAGAGGTTTATATAGTTTACAAGATGGTGCACTGACGTCATGGAGAAAAATTAAAAGCGAGCTATGACAGCTGCTAGCCACTATCACCAATGTTGATCTGCAAAGTCATCACTTCTCAGCAAAGGTACCTAACACTTTCTGAGGCACATCTGAGACTGCATTACATATACAATATTAAGTCTGAAATTTAACTTCTATTTGTATATTCCTTTTGGTATTGATTCAAGAACAAGTTAGAAAACAAAAACAAACGTCCAAGCACTAAATTTCTCAGCTAATGATATAGGGTGAAATCCTCACCCCATTGAGGTCAATGGGAATGTTTTTCATTGATTTCCATGTGGCCAAGATTTCACACATATTAAAATTAGACTCATTCACTCCCTACTACACCTCTACCCCTATATAAAGCGACCCGATATAACACAAATTCAGATATAACACGGTAAAGCAGTGCTCCAGGGGGGCGGGGCTGCACGCTCCGGTGGATCAAAGCAAGTTCGATATAACGTGGTTTCACCTATAACGCAGTAAGATTTTTTGGCTCCCAAGGACAGCATTATATCGGGGCAGAGGTGTATGTGTCAAACAGATTAAAAAAAAAAGTATATTTTTCACTAAAAAGACTTCTGTGAGGGAGTCAAATCCATCCTAGAAGAAAAGCCCAGAGACACCCAACCTCAGATTATCAATGTATTAGGAGGCTATTAGGGAAAACGCAATACATGACCTTATGTTTTTGTGATCTTACTTAACACTGACTCAGGTCTTTCAGTTGTTCCCAGTGGTTGGGTAAGAGGTTTTGTGCATGAATAGATTTTGAAAGAGGGAAAAGTTCAATGCAACTGCTACATTACCAGTTTAAACTAGTCATGTAAATCACTCTCTCACATACACACAACTTCTTTGAAACTTTAAACAATTTACAGGTCTTGAAATAAAAGTAAGTATAAAAAATTGAATATGTAGGATTTTTCTAAATTATCAAATCATCTTAATTTTGTGCAATTCATGAAATATATAAAATACACCAAAATATAGGAGTATGTCCATAAAAACATTGTATCCATCGCCAGACTGTCAGTGAGTATAAAACATATAAAGCATTCACTACCATATATTGTTCATACTGTACCATAAAAGATATTACATTTTACATTCCAAGTGCATGGCACAGTACTGAAGGAATAAGTTTTCCTTTCTATATCTGCAAATTGGGAAAATACCAATACTCGTATGTATAATTTAGCAGCAGCACAATAAGTGAATCATTTACCATATTGCTAAAGTTAGTTAAAATATAATTCATTCTGTTCTAAGTGACTACGTGAACAGTGCATGATAATATCATCTGCCAACAAAAAAGTCAGCCAAGTTCACACAAGATCACATACTGCTTAGACACTAAATAATATGTCAGACAGTGAGCTGAAGCACGTCTCAATGAGAGAATTTAAAACATTAAGCCAAATAAAATAATTCCATACACCACTCTACACCAGGGATCTGCAACCTTTGGCCCGCGGCCCGCCAGGGTAAGCACCCTGGTGGGCCGGGCTGGTTTGTTTACCTGCTACGTCCGTGGGTTCAGCCAATCGCGGCTCCCACTGGCCGCGGTTCACCGCTCCAGGCCAATGAGGGCTGCAGGAAGCGGCGTGAGCTGAGGAATGTGCAGGCTGCCACTTCCCGCAGCCCCCATTGGACTGGAGCGGTGAACCGTGGCCAGTGGGAGCCGCGATCAGCCGAACCCGCGGACATGGCAGGTAAACAAATCGCATGCCAAAGGTTGCTGATCCCTGCACTACATTATCCATTGGGACATTTCACTATGTTAGAATTTTTAAAAAAAACTTTTTAAAATTTGTTAATCTATTTCATTTCCAAGGATAAAATAAATGAACAGTGCATCTTATTCCCTTGGGTGTTCATTCAGAAAATAATGTATTCCACAGAAGTGGAGGAGGATGGATCTGCACAGGTAACAATCTGAGGTCTCCAATTAGAGGTGAGTAACCCTGCTCATTTGAGAATTGCTGTACTGTGCAGATCCCTATCCTTGGGGGATTATCTAACAATAGGCATATTTATTGTTATCTAACAATAGGGATATTTAAAGATTACAGGTTTGCTTCCCTAGACAGTGTAGACTTAAACCTTAAAAGCAAAAGAATACTGCATAAAAATATCAGATAAGTCAATTTAGTTACCCAATTTTGGCTAATATTGTCATAATTTGTATTATAATAGTGCCTAGAGATCGCAACTGAGATCAGGGCCCCATTGTGTTAGGCACTGTATAGATATTTAGGGATGAAGGGACTGTGTCTCAAAGAGATTAAAATCCAAACATTAAAGACTGGGGATGGAATAGCACAAAGAGGGGTAAGCAATTTATCCAGGGTCACAAAGCGGGTCAATGGTAGCACCAACAAACCATGTTTCCCAAGTCACAATCCAATGCAGTTACCTATCCACTGGACCATGTTGTTTCTCCTCCTGTACACCCAGGTTGAAAATTCTCTACCATTTCAAAAGAACTGGGCTTGGTTGAGGCCTTTTGACTCTCCACTAATAGCTGCTGCATCTCCAATAAACAATTGCTTTCTATTTCTACTGAGGTAACATGTTCCAATCGTCTGGATGCAAGATCTGACCCCATTTCCAAGACCAAGCTATTGGAAAGTTATAGATGATATGGAGGGTTTTGTTTTCATAGACAACAAGTCTGTGAACTATATTTGCTATTTCAACTGTGGAGCTGTGAAAAAGTCACATGGATTCTTTCTTGCTTTTATCTTCCTGATAACACTGAGGAGTAGAAGCATAAGAGGGATGACACAGAAAATTCTGACACAAGAATATAGAGAACTGAAGGGAGTGTTGTGTCTAGTGGCAAAATAAATCTATTTGGGGGGTTTCCCTGTTTCTGAAATACGGACTTAATTATAACATCTTTCAGAGACCATAGTCTCTGATAAGCATAGTACTTGTGGCTCAGGTGATCTGCTAGGATGCTTTCTTTGCCTGGCAGATGGAGAGATGTGTATGGCCCTTGACTGCCCTTTATTCCAATAAATTGAGTTTGGCCTCTTCCTGCTAAACGAACAGTTGGACTCAGGTGAGCCACCAGCCAAGGCTGGATGCATCTGTTACATGTGCAGCTCAGGTAGAAAGAGAAAATGGTGCTCCCTGACAAGAGCTGTCCAGAAAAGTCCATCATGGCAGGGAATCTACAATACCTTGCTGTGTGTTCAATAGAGCCTGGATTTCATCCTGCTGGGGCCAACAAAACATACATAACTACCAACACAGATTTCACAATAAAAAAAGTGTGTTCTTGAGCTCTTACAACATCTGATCTCTTCTGGACGAGCTCTTCCGAATGAAAGATTCTGAGTCCAGGATTACACCTTCACTCAACAGGCTCACATTATAACAACTGTTGCAATGAAATAGGTAACAGAACAGTAAGAAGAACTTTATGGAGGAATATTGTGAAAAAGCAAAAAGGAGATGTAGGTGCTCAGTGCTCATAATAGTGTCTCCTCCTGCACAACAAATAAAACAGTGTACTTACAATTGCCCTTAAAAAATGCATGCATCCTAACAAATGTTACCACAATCCTTCAAATGAAGCTAACCACTATTAGCTGGATATCATAAGTGACTAACAGACATCCTTAAAGAATTAAGAAAACAAAAATTTAAATACAGTGCCATAAAGCCTACATTACCACTATATTAAATGTGAAATGTAAACAATGAGGCTGCAATGACTCATGACAGCTCCTGACATTGCCTTGACTCTGAAATGGCTGGTCTCTGGTGTAGAGTTTTGGTGCAAATACAGACTTCCTGCAAATGCTATAGTATAGTGTGTACAGCTCTCCAAACAGAATCAACATTTTTACTATTTCTTCTTATTTAGTTTCTCCTTTGTTTTCACTTAGATAGATCTTTCAAATGCTGCTTTTACTAATTAGTCTGGAGTGTGTGAAAAATTCATCTCAAGAAATGGCTGGACCAATATGATCACTTGAGGCAAAGCAGCCATTTCTTCGGCGGATTGAAGAAAAGTGGTGGATGGAAATGAAAGAGGCCTGTGGGAATATAAATGCAGCAGGAGAAGAAAAGAGGAAGAAAGGGGAAAATTAAGACAGATAAATGAGGTTTAGAAGACCTACATGGCCAACCAAAATGGGTTCCTGAACAAACATTATTAGTCCTAACCAGAACAATGTAGCTAATGAAAGTGCAAGTGAATTAAATCTAGTTAACTTTACTTAAACCAGAGAACTTAATTTGACAGGTCAATCCCTGACAGTGAAGTGATGGATAACAGATAAGGTTGAAAGAAAATTGGGTAATCTCAGATACACTGATATATAGTTTTGGTCTGATATTATAAAATGAATATAAATCCTTATTCAAATCAAATTTATAACAATGAAAAAGTCATCTTGTAATGCAAAATGTAGCAAGTGTCCAATCTGAAATCTAAACCATATAAAGTGTAGGTATACATCTGACTCACTTAATTCAATTAATTCTTACAGGGTTTTTTATTTATTTATTTTATTATAAAGGAACTACAGCAACCTGCATTGATTCGACAGCAAAAAAAATTGAAGATTGTTTCTCCTCATTGCTCATCTCTCACGGAGAAGCAGGGCACAAACTGGTCTGAGGAAGATATACTTATTTAACTTTTATATATTTATTGAGACTCTACTACAATTGTGGATCCAGACCTGATAGAACACACACAAGTTTCTCCATCTAGAGGTTTATAACATAACACACCAGAACAGAATTGGACAGAGACTTAGTTTAGCATCATAGATATTTTTCATTTGAGATTAAAATATTTTATTTTACAGAATATATACAAATAATAAACCTCTAATACATGAAGTGACCTCAAAATCAATGTCATGAGACCAAAAGGTATTTAAAATATAGGTTCAATGAAGAAAAGTACTTACGTTGGTAACTGCACATAAAGCAGGCCTGTGCAACGATCATCCACTCTGCTCTAGTCTCACAGAAGATGGCAATGTTAGTCTTCGGTTGCTGCCCCAATACTGCTAAGCCATTTCCAAAATTAGTAGCTTTAACATAGACTTCATCATATGAGAGCCAAGTGTATTTTCCAAGGATGACCTAATAAAGTAATATAAATTTATATAAGTGTAATTTAGAAAAGGATCCTTATTATGCCTTAACCCATGTGAAAATATGAACGATGTAAGCCTAAAAATATAATTATCAAAGTCTGTCAAAGGATAACATTCTTGCATTAAAACAAATTATAGCATTGTGGAAGTTCCATGTTTTGTCCCTCAAAGTCCAAGTTAAATGGCTCGGTACAAGGAAACTATGTGATTGTTGAGGGAATAGAAATTGGCTGTAGGGTGGATACGGCATACTGTGGACCACAACCCCATGTACAAGAAGCACAACATAGATGTAGTTCAAAATGCTAGGACATCCTCTCCTACTCTACTGTCCCTCCCAAAACATTTCCCCACTACCACCCCAGAGACCTGGCACACAGTTCAGTTCCACAATTCACAAGGACTGTGACATCTCCTAATAGATATCACAGTTTTTGTTTCTGCTCCCTCACTTGGAAAGTATGGTATGTCTACCGCATTTGGGGTCTTCTGAGGCCATGCTAAACACCACAGTAATTAACCCTTAAGTATTTAAGATTTTAAAAAGTTTATTCCATGTTAAAAGGATAAAAGCTTAGTAGTAAAAAAAATCTCTCAAATATTCTTTTTGCTTTACTGGTTTCCTACTAATTCACCCACCTGCCAACCCACCCTTCCCAGCACCTCTGCAGCCTATCTTGAGGGCTTCTGGGAAATCTAGGCTCCCCAATTCCATAGCAGCCATTTGGCTGAGAAGCCTGGGCTCCCCAGCCTTGGCCTAGGAAACCCGGGTTACTGAAGAGCCACAGAGCCTAGGAGCTCAAAAAGCTGACTGAAATAGACATGATGGTTGTCAGTTTCACGACTATCCACCATTAAATAGCAGCTGTGAAACTGATCTAACTCTAGTTAACTTCATTTAGCTGCTGCTTTTTGACAAAGCTGTGAGCAATAGCAGAAGCAGGTACTGGGGTTACTCATAAAGAAAGAACTCCCTCAACAAAAAATGGGCAGCCAAGGAGTCAGGAACCTGGCACCCTGGCTCCCAAACTCCCAGCAGATCACCTGACTGGTTGCCACAAAGCCAAGGAGTCCAGGAGCCTATAGATCTTATTCCGGCTGGCTCTATGTTTTTGAAACAAAATATTGTGCATTTAGCTAATCTGTAAAAAATTTCAAATTTTTGGATTTTCATTCTGTTTTGGGATGAAAAAATTTCAAAAAGACTCAGCATTCTTTGCAGACCTGGAAATCAGTTTCATTGCTAGCTCTAGGTATAAAGTCACCTGGAGCAATGAGCAGCAGGACCCACTTAGGATCACCACCACCAAACTCTTCTCTCATCCGATTATCCTAAGGGCTCCAAGCAGGGGCCTACTGCCATGTAATATTTATCACTATCTCCCGGTGTGATTTACACCATCCACTCAAACTTAACATTACCTGCCAATATAACTTGCAGAAATACATGCGAAGGTCAAAACAACAAATTACTAGATGACTGGAAAGGGATCCCTTAAATAAGCAATGGAATTTCAATTTTAACCCTTCAACACAGATGTTTACATGTTATATTTAAAGTTTAAACTAATTTGGTGTACGACATCTGAACAAGGGGAGTCCTGCTTCAGCAGATCTTATGATGCAGACTAAATCAGTGCTTTCCTTCACCAGAGGTTAGCAATGATACAGGTGTGTTTGGGGAGTTGGGATGAGCTTTTATTAACAAAGGAAATTTTACCTCTATTAGCTATCTCAAGAAGCAGTGAAGATGCAGCAGCGTACACCCCAGCACGGGTTGTACAAGCCTACCTGGAACACTGGGTAACAGCACATGCTGTTGTGGCTTCACAAATCCTACCTCAGCTAGTTAGATCAAAGCTAGCTTGGGTACCTATACATGAACTGAAACCACACCACCTGATTGCAATGTAGATATATCCTTAATCTCCCTGCACATACACATATGTTGAGCTCATTTTCCTTATCCCAAACCCCATGGTCCCCTGCATCCTTGTTTGTTACTCTTTCCCTGACATGCCAATGTCCTGCCACCATCTATATGCTGCTTCCTCCTGCCTTCCCAAGCACACATTTTTTGAGGATGTGAACCAAAGCTTCATCTCCCCCCTCCAGCTTCCAAACAGTGTGGCAGAAGCCAGCTGTGGGTGTGGGGGGGGGAGGGTGACAGGAAGAGGTTCAAGGGGGCGCAAGGAGAATTAGAGACTCAGCAGCACAGAGACCGCTTGCTCCAGGATGGGAAGGGCGATCCCAGTGGTTCCTACCTGCTCCTTGACCCAATCCTGGCTGCTGCAGCAGCCCCTCCAAATCCCACTCTCATCTCCCCGTCTTTATGTAGGAACAGAGCCCACAAAATATTTCCATTGCTCTTTTGGTTCTGCCACCCCTGCCTCCAAGTACCCTACTTCCAAATCCATTTCCTTTCCAATCGCCTGACCTCATGTTCACACTCCTACCTAAACTGCCACACTTCAGCAGCTGGAGTTAGGTGGTCAATTTATATTATAAGAGGTTGTTCTTTACACACTTGGAGACAACTCTTTATATCTTTTTAGCACCATGACCCTCCTATCACTCACACACACACACACACACACACACACACACACACACACACACACACACACACACATACA